TGGAGTCAAAGTAGCTGTCTGAATATATGCCAATGTAAACAGACTTTACTTCTGTGTGCGTGCTTCTCTACTTTAATGGACAAAGGTTTTAAAGTTTTGCTTCTCATCCATTTACACACACACTCAAACCAATGCATGCACAACACTGACCTGACCATCAGGAGCATTAATCAGGGATCAAACTGCTCTGCCAGTTTCAGTATTTTACAGTTTTTGATGACTGCTCAGATTAAAGTGATATTTTGCTTCATGCCGAATTTGACTTGTTTGCACAACACACTGTTAGGAGTTATGTCTTCCAGTCTGAGATTCACCAGATGCAAAACTGCTACAATATTTGTCAAATGAAGTATAGATGAAGAAATCCTAATATTTCAAATATGATGAAAGTGCTGAGGTGTCCTTGTGATGTCAGTTTGAAGGGGAAGCACACCAACCGCCTCTCCCTGAGGTTTGTGGATCCAGACCTGGAGACTCGATACTCTGTGGAGAAGGAGAAACAGAGCGGAGCTGCCTTCTGCTGCTCCTGTGTGGTCCTACTCTTCACTGCAGGCATGGAGGCACTCATAGACCCCTGGTCAGTTCACAAGGCCGGCACCAGTCTCCTCACACCACTTCATTCACAAGGTGGCCATGTTTGATTGATGCTAAGACGACCACCCGAAAGAACAAAAGAGAACAAGACTAAGCCAATATTCTTCAGAAACTAATTATAAAACTGCAAAATGATCCTATTGATCCTATTAATTATTTACTCCTCCCTCACTGCTGCAGTTTGAATCGTTTGTGCAGCCCAACTCATTTTTGTGGTCCTCCCTGCCATCGTGTTTCCTGCTTGCAGTTGTTAATGACACAAACACACCAATGTTAGAGAGTCTAGACACGAACAAAGCATCTGGACTTGTTGACTGCTGTTGGTGCTGTGTATTTCTCTCAAGGTCTGTCTCTGTTCATGTGTTGTGAAACAGGCTTATTGCAAACTACATCACCTTTGCAGTGGGAGAGGTCCTGCTGCTCATCCTGACAATCTGCTCTTTGGCTGCCATCTTCCCTAGAGTGAGTCCCAACATATTTTGATCCTATTTCATCTTGGTGTTTAGCACTTACTGCAGGTATGGCAATTTGGGTTTTGTAGGGTTGGGTATCATTTCATTTTTTATCAATTTCGATTTTGATTCTTTAAAGGATGGAGTCAAAACATTACACATGCTTATTCCACAGAAAAAACATTTATATTTTCATGTTCATATTCACAACTGACTTCAGTGCGTGGAACCTGAAAATGAATTTCAAGCAGTTGCTCTAATTAAATGACATGATTCAATAATAATTAGTTTATTTTCTTCATTTCAATGCAGTGTAACTGTAACATTGAAACCCGTTGAAATGACAACACAGTGACAGTCGATTAATTTACAGTTTAGAGAGCTGCAGCGTGTGGGTGTTGATGAGAGAGAAGTAGGAACGTCTGTGTGTGGTACTGGTGCACTGAACCAAATAAGAATAAGACAAATGTTACTTCATTTTCACCTAACTGATTGTGACGAGGCCCTGGCTGATGATTTTTTTTTATACAGAGCTGGAGTGGAGATGTGTTTAACCGATCTTAGCTTAAAGACTAGATTTTAGGGGAAAAAGTTAACCTGTCCTATGTTCATATTTAAACATGCACACACATGGCATGATGGGAATATATCATGTGCTGTGTGCAACACATTTAGTTTAGCATATCTCTCAAAATGTTGCAACTAGAAGTGATCGTCATATTGTCTTCTGTAAATGATTTTAGTGGT